CTTCTCTGTTTAGAATAACCAGCTTCGGGAGCTGAAAAGCCAAAAAGAAGAACTGGAACAAGAATTATGCGATCGAGAAGAGGAGACACATAGCAGAATTATGTTAATCCAAGAGCTGGAAGGTGCAATCAATGAACGCGACGATGAGAATAAGAAACTACGCGAAAAGCTGCAATATCTGAAGGAAGACAGAGATCGCTGGAAAAGTGAGCACGATAAAGCTGTCACTATTATCAAAAAGCTGTATAATGTAAGTATTTCAGAAATTTTAAAGATACAAACAATGAATATCCCTGGCCGGGAGATTGGAAAAGGACGGGGGCCTGAAATCGTCTATGTGTTAACATATGCAATTTGTTTGGCGTTGTTGGCCCACCACCGTGGTGAGGAACACAATCGAATTTTGACAGTTAATGAAAAACTGGAAGTGCCGTTTAGATCTCCCAAATAAGCAGGCCTGTGTGTACCCTCTCTGTATTTCATCCCTGAGCTGTAAACACAGACGGCAGAATCGGTGCGCAGTGGGGTGGGAATCATCAGTACAGTGTCCCATTTCGCCATGTTAAAAAGAACATGTTGTTTACCGGAGGAAGTAAGCCTTAATGCACTTTCGTTTCTTATGCTTCTTTTACTGATTTGATTGTGGCTTTTTTAAAGCATGAAACAGCATTTTTCATGTATGCTGCTTTTAAAAACGTTTCAATTGTTTACAGGAAAATAATCGTCGCTGTGGCAACTGTGGCGATGGAGCAGCTTTGAACGAACTGGAAAAAGATTTGGAGGAGCGCAAACGAACCATCGATGCTTTAACTGATTCGAATACTGAACTTAGAGCGAAGGTGTCTCCACTGGTTTTTTTTTTTTTTTTCTTTTTTTCATAATAGGCGTGAAGGGGTCATGACGATTAGCTGTGGGAAAATCCGTTATTTAACTTTGTGTAAAAATGCTATTCTGTACTTATGGCAGTGATGATTGTCCAGGTTTTTGGACCACCCTTTAGTAACCTATTATTTTCTGTTAGAATTTATACACACATTTTGGTCACCTGACGGTGCATTTTTCCCGGCTGTCAGATGAAATTTATATACACATTTTATGTTGTAGAAAAAAAATTGCTAAATCCCTTTATTATTATGCAAAATATGAACTGATGGAAATGCAACTGGAATTAAAGCGGCGAGCCTAGCTGGGAAATGGTGATTTTTTTAAATAAATTGTAACTTCTGGGGCAAGCATCATGCTAATTTCAATGCTTATAAGTTAAACATTACCAATAGTTATATCCATCTAGTGAGGAAATGAAACATGAAACATTTGGTGAAACATTTTTGTTTTTTGTAAGACATTTTTGCAAAACTTTCGTGAAATGAATTTTATAAAAAATTTATGAAAAATAAAACAAAAAAAACATGGACATGAAAAAATATATTAAAAATATGAAAAAGAGGAAAAAAAAATTATTTCACATATATTATTGTCGGCTATTTCATATATATGTTTCCCTAATAAAGGGAATATGTGTGAAATAGCCGACAATACTATCGTGGCAATGATGTGCTGAGAAAGCCAGTGTTATTGCATCAGTCATATTTTTGGGCAAAATCGACAATACCAATGCATCAGTGGATAGCATTTATTGCTCGATTTAGATATAGAAAAACTGTGGGGATTCGACAAATGTGTAAGAGATTGCAGTGCTATTAGTCCTTGCAAGAATTATTGAAATTTACGAGTGTATTTTTTGCAGCTGGAAAATCTTTGTTTGGAATATGAGAAAGCGAAGAAGAATGCAGAAACATGGGAAGCGAGGTGCGAAAAAAAAGAAACGTGTAAGTTTTTTTTGTCGGTAGAAATTGATAATATTTTTTTGTAGCTTCTACATGGCATCTTGATTGTTAGCTTTTGCGATTTTAACTGAAACAACTGCTTTTCCATGTTTAGTGCAGTTATGCCCGATTCCCGTGTTCTGCACCTTTGTAACGCCAATTTTCCACACCGAATTTCGATGGGCTGCAGCAGTGAATTCAATTTTGAGTCCTTTTTTTCTTCACATTTTTACCGAACAACAAAAAATCTGAATATTGTCGAACTCTGTGATACTTCTCATTCATTGTGATACTTCTCTGAAGTGTATCGTCTTGACTAACAGTTATCAGCTACTAATTGGACGTACTTTTGCCCCTCAATAATCATGTCATCATATCTGTGGATACCTGAGCTCCCACGCATTTTCTTTAGCCGTTTAGGATTTTTGTTTGTTATTCAACAGATTTAAGAAGCTCTCACCCAAGTCACTGCACATACAGGCTTGCTTATTTGGGAGATCTAAATGGCGCTTCCACTGTTTTCATTAATTGTCAAAATTCGATTGTGTCCTTCTCCACGGTGGGCCGACAACGTCAAACAAACTGCATATGTTAACACATCGAAGATTTCAGGCCCCCATTCGCTTTCAGTCTCCTTGCCAAAAATATTCACTGTTTGTATCTTTAAAATTTCTACAACACATAAGATAATGGAGCATAGATTTGTTTGATATCTTTTGCGATGTTTCAGTGATAAATGATCTCATACAGTCTCGACGCTCATCTCCAATCACAAATCCATTGCAGCAGCAGCAGTCGCCAAATTTTACAACCACTGTATATCCACGTGTTTTAGGAGTGGTAAGCGATAATGA